GTTTGAACATGTTCAATCATCTGTTGCTTCAACGACTGCTACGTTTCCTTTGTGGCGGACCAGGGTCTGGCTGCAACGAATCTGACCTAACCATAGTCATGGGAAATCACGCATTCTGTGATACCCAAAATGGGTCATTCCAATGATCACTTGATCACTTTCAATTGGACTCCCTTGGAATCACAAAAAGTGGCCGTACCAACCCAAAGCCCTATGTTGAAACCACAGCCAGAATTTGTCCCTTGACCAAAGCGGACTCCCAGCCTTGTACTGTTGATCACGTGAATAGGGAGTTCCATGAAGCCAATAATTCCCTATGGATGAACAAAATCCTGCACCAGATAGATCGTTTATCTCATCATTTATAGGGTTTCATCTACCCTGACTGGTGCGATTGCAACATCACATGTCCCTCGAATCCGCCTGCTGGGAAGGGCCAAGCAGAGGTTGGGCCCGTACCGAGCCGAACCTCACGCGACGGAGAAAGAAACAAAAAAGCTGGAAAAAAACAAGGATCCAAGTGGAGCTGTGTGTTTCGAGGGAAACCAAAAGGGAAACCGCCGTTTTTCATTTCTGTTTGGGGGGCGGGTCGTTCGATTGTGACGCATACCCAAGTGGCAGGAGATGTTCGTTTACTTATCTCTTAAATCTGCTCGGAACAAAAAGACAGCACCTGGCCTAAAGCACCTTGCGTTGCACAGAACAACCCCTTGCTCATGGCTACGTCGTGTTGCAAGGCGGGCATTCATTGTTTCAGGCGCGAAGGGAAATGGCCGGGCATGGTGATTCAAACAATCTCACTCAGCAAGGGCGGGAGGACATGGGATTCTCAGTGAAGCTGTTTTTGAGGTTGTTGTTTGTCTGTCTGGAGCCAAGGATGGTCAACATGACAAGGGTTGATTCAACGATGCCATGTCGCGTTCCAAGGCTAGACATCATATCAGGCACGGGCATCGCCAAGCAACCACGAAACAATTTAAGAACTGGGCCTGCCATGTATCTCAATGTGCTTGGGATCATGTTGGGGACGTCTCTTTTTGGAGGGGACCCCCAAACTGTTTGGTTGTCCTTTCGGTTTCCCTTTAAACCAAAAAAAAGGGGCACCCCCAAAAAAGACGCCAACACATTGGGGATGGTTTCAAAAAGAAACCGTCAAGAAAGCCAACCCTTTACAAGGGTCCAAGCATGCCAAGTTGCCACACTAACGACAGCAGGGCTCCCTACATGTCCCCCCGAAACATCACCACCAGGAGGGACTCCTCTTAAAGTGGCACCGAAAAAATATGTTTGCGCGGGTTTGCAACAGAAATATGGCTATGACTTTTAGTAGGGAACCACCGCAAGAGTGGTTGATGGACATGAATCCCGTCTAAGGACTTCTAAGCGTCTCAAAATGAATGGACCACGCAAAATGTGGTTTTCCTTTTGGTGTCCTTTTCAGCCGGCCCACAAAAGGGTATTCTCAAGAACCAACACGCCAATATTGGGACTGGACAGGTGCCTCGGGTACTTTGAGGGCCCCGGTTTTTTCAGCCCAGCCACTGTCACGCCGCCCTCCAGGAGTGACTCCCTCACCAGGACCTGGCGATCGAAACAAAACGGGAGAGGACCCTCCTCTGATTTGGCTGTGGGTCAAAACCAATGGTACCATTTTGGGGCAGGTGCACCGCCCATTTTAGTCTATTTTTGTGGGGATTGGGATGTTCACCGGGGTACGGGATTTTGACCACTGGCCATTTGGCCTTGCTTTTGTCTGGAGGTGCCGTTGTGAAGGTACTGTACTTTGTTCAGCTTGGTTGAAGGAAAAGCCAAACGAGGAAACCCACCTATTTCGGGGGTCGTCCCTAGGTTGGCCGCAAGAAAGGCCGGAGGGTCGCCACGATGTTCTATGAGAATTGCGGGCGATGCTTAACCCACAGATCACCTGTTCAGTCCGGGTCCGGGTTGCCAAGAGAGGAATCCAAGCGCCACTCATGGAATGAGATGGTATGTGGGTATGGGTCAAAAAAAAACACCAGACCCCAGGTTTTAGTCCATGTGTCCATTTACCAGGGCAAGCAATTTTGGGTACCTGCTGTGGATGGACAAAATCCTTCACCACTTTGAATCTATGGGAAGCAATGGCTTGTTGGCATTTACAGGGCAATCATCCTTCTAGGGTCTCTGAGGTGGTGCAGGATTTCGTTACCTATGTTTGACGCACGGCCATGTGTCTTTTGAGGGTACCCTTTCTCAGGCTGCGACATCAAACGGAAATCAACCGTCGTGGACGGACGAATCATGCGTCTGCCGAGCCAAGCCCCGTACAGTCAACCTCTCCTCCCCCACCAAAAAAGAAGATCAAGCCACCAAGAATTGAGCCACAATGAAAACCTGGTGCTAAAAAAGGGCTCAAACCATGCAAAGCAATTCAAGGGCTGCACCTGTTTCTGTTTGCGACCAAAAGGCTACCCGGCTTTGATCACCAACCCATCACTGCCTGCACTGTGCGGCTGGGGACGGGCATCGTGACAGAGAACGGCCTGCACGGAATCTCGGTACTCCGTGCGCGGCGAGAATGACGTGGAAACGTGTTCAGGGACTGCAGAAGGGACCTCAGGTGACTCATGAAGAGCCCAAATGGGTGTGTCCCAAAATTGAAGAGCCAGGGTTACGCAGGTTTTAGTCTTTGGTTCCATTTACCAAGGTGCCATTTTTGTTCATCTTTTTGAGCCACAGCCAAATGTAAGGAAGCCAACTTGGAGACTCCACTTCTTTGTAACACGCCAGAGGTTCGGAACCAGAATAAGTCTTCGAGCAACTGGAGCATGCAGGAAAACAGCATAGCGACTGAACTTCTTCATTGTCGACCAAGAAACTGTCTTGAAGCCCGTGGATTAATCAAGCGTGCGATGATCCTTCCAATGGCTCCTTGCCTTATCTTCCATGGCTGCACCCTAGCGAAGACGGGATACGCATTTGACTCCTAGGGAGGTGTTATTCTTATCCACTTGGCCGTGTACATAGAAGGGCCCTGTTTTTTGACCACTTTGATTTGAACTGCCAAAGCATGCAGCCTTCGCGTCCCGACCGCGTCGGCAGCTCGTTTTGGGGAGCCGCTCACCACCTGGTGTTGTTTCGAAACTTTTCAAATCACTGCACTTGATATGTATGCTGCATGCTCCTTTGAGTGACATGTTTGCCAACTAAAGAGCATCCTGGCTTTGGGAACGTCACCATCTCCAGTACTCGAAGCGCCCTCGATTTGAAAAGCTTGTGACCACCTCAATAGCACCCTTCGGAGACTTGCTCACCTGCAAAGCACCGAGCCTCGTTTTGCAGATTGAACATCGCAGTCTGCGAACAACTTCCGAGATTTGTCTGAACTGATCAGGAAAGTGCTGAAGCGAATGGTGGTTATGTAGGCATTTCGAGGATGCTGCAGAGGGAGTGCAGACTTCGCACTGGAATCGCAATCGCGCAACGTGATCTTAGACACATCTTGCTGCCAACAAACCATGTCCGTGAAGAACAGTGAGCCGCGTACCCGGATGACCCTTCAAAGGCTGCCTTTCAAAGCCACAGGCTCCCAAATCAAGAAACTCAGGAAGCCTAGGGCAATCAACCTCCTTTCTGGGTGAAGAGTTCATTCTGCCCCTAGCTCACACCTTTTCCCGTCCATCGCCTCGAGTCCCATCCGTCGAGCAGCTCGAGAGTGTTCTCGTGGCCCCACTGCAGTCGGTTCTGGCCTTAACCATGGCAAAGCACACACACACACCCGCGAAGGGGGTTGCTCAATTCAACCGCAAGAAGCCCCTGATTCCTAGTTTGCGCAGCATTGGGAATTTGAGCTGTCAAAGTGTAGTTCTCGTGGGTCTGTGGGTGGAGCTGGGCGACGGCGACTGGACAGCATTGGACGTTGGACGTTGCTGGGTGTTGCACTGCAGTTATGACACGAAAGGAAAAGGTCAAGTGCATGTGAGGCCTGTAAATGGAACAAAGCCAATCTAAGCCAGTGCCATCGATTTTAACCAGGCTCACCTAAAAAGGACACCTATGGTCAAGTGTGGAGGATGCGAAAAAAGAAGCGACTTCCTTCTGAGCCAATGGTGCAAGATAACTGGCCCATGCGAATGTGGATCAGATTGGACAAACGCAAGTTGCAGGATTTCTCTCTCGGACCCCACTTTTGCCGTGCTCTTCCTTTATTTCGCGCACGCATCCCATGGCGCCGCCAATCCAAAAGCGAAACTTGCAGAACGCGCCCGCATTCCGATAAACCAAAGCGTCATCTCTTAGATCAACACGCGTCAGTCGTTCAAAGCTGCAAAGGCCACCAACCACCCGATCAACTGACCAACTGGCCAACCGGTTCACCCACTCATCGACCAACTCGTACTTTGGCCAGGCGTCCAATCATGATGGGACTTGAGCCCAACAATCCCCAAATGAGCCTTTATGCACCTACGAGACAGGCATAAGTCGCTAGCAATGCGGTCAGCAAGACCCTAAAACCAAGAAGAAAAAGCAGAGAATGAAAGAACACCCCCCCCAAAATAAATAAATAAAATAAAAATAAATCCTTGCAACCCTGGCAACCCTAGAACGAAATGGGCAGGCTTTTTGGGTTGTGCACAACTGAGCATTTGGGTGTCTCTTTCTTTCTGAGTTGATACCATCTTTTTGGGCGGGTTTTAAAGGGCAGCCAAACTCGGTTCCCCAAAGGATCGCAAAATAAAAGGCTAACCTTTTGGGACCTGTACCAAAAAAATGACCAACATTGGAGAACCAAAAGGTCAAGATCTGGACGATTCGCTTTGGGCAAGCGAGCAAAAGGAAAACCACTGCCATTTGGTGTCCTTTTGGGGGAAACAGGTGGGTTTCCGTGGTGGGTGATGAAACCACCAGGTAAACCAGTTCCACCCATTTTCCGACCAAAGCAAGCAACCAAAAAGGAAACCCAGGGGTCTTGGCTTCAAGGCACACCAAAGGAAATCCGGAAAGCTGTCTGGGGGGAAGGGGGGGTTGAAAAAGACACACCCAGATTGGTGTGTTGGGAAAATAGGCGTGCAATTTGCTAGTAGGTAACTTGAACCATGCAGACAAACCTGGGCAAGTGAGCAAAAGGAAAACCGCAGCCACTTTTGGGCGGGGTGCCCTGAAGTGTCTCCCACTTCTCGGGTTCCCGGCCGCCGAAGCGCGGCTCATCCGAGTCAAGCCTCAGCACCCGGCACGTGGCGGCCGGCGCGAGAGGCGCGAGAGGCGGGTGGCGGGTGGTTTCCCCGTGTCAGCTGGGTATGGCTCAAAATGAAAAAGCTGGGGCAAAACGCGGGTTTTAGTGTTTGGTTCCATTTACCTTTTGGTGCCATTTTGGTACCACTTTTTTGAGCCACAGCCACGCACCCAGGTCCATTTTTTTTCCGCGGGGAGGGTGCGGGGAGGGTGCGGCTCCTCGGCTTCCTTCTCCTCTTCTGGCTCTGGCTGACCCTTGGAATCACCGAAGTTGGAATTCGAAGGGCAACTCAACAAAGGCTATGTTCAAGAACTCTTGGGGGAGGTCCCTTTTGCATGGTGCTTCAAGGAACCAGACAATGAAGACAAGTATTCTTGAGGACTCAGCAATTCTCTAGGACTCAAGAAGATCTCCAGTTCCAAGAGGGCATCATGTTTGTTGGAGGACACTGGGAAAACGACGCGCTTCAGTCGACTAGGTCTCGGAGTTCGCACGCGCGTCCAGCCAACTTGTTTTGGCCATGAGCACCCAAAGCCAATCCAAATGAGCGCCCGAACCCCGAGCTGACGTTTTGGCTACACCAAGATGGTTGCGGGCTATGAAGGTTAACATACCCCCATGAAGCAAGGAGTGGAACCACTCGACTAAAATGGCCCTTTTGAGAGTTGCGCTGCTGAAATGCAAGTGCCATTGCCATGGTCAAAGTTCTTTAGGACACTTTAGGATTTGATGACCATCTCTGCCAACCCCGAGGCTGCTTTTTTTTGATCATGGATCTGTGAACAGGCCAGGAGCCGCTCTGTGCAGCATATGGCAGAAGAGAATTGAGATCAACCATGATCCATGATTGGTCATTCAGGTTGGCAACCTGCATGTTTGCCGTTGGGGTACCAACCTTGTCCTCAAGAGAATTTACAGTGAAGTGTGTCGTAATATTTGTTTTTTGCTTTTTCAGGGGTGGTGGACTGGTGGCATGTTTCAAAGTGTCCCAAGAACCAGTTGATTCAACGCGTTGAAACCACCATCATCAAAAAGGCACAAATCTGGGTGAGTCTTCTCTTGAGGGTTCGCTTTTGGTTTGGGTGCAACTAGAAACCAACAGGATCACAGAAGCCTTCTTGGGGTCCCCTATCTTAAAACACACCCAAAAAATGCTTTTGGCTTCCCGTGAAAGGGCACCAGGTTGCGCTTGTGACAATGTCTTGCGCGGTCCGGTCTCAGAGGTAGCGACGCGCATCCGAGGCCCAAGCACCACTCGCAGGCCCTCGTCCCAGGAATGTCCAACGCGGTACTCCTCGTCCATTCCACGAAATCGGCGCAAAAGTCGCAGAGTCTTGGGGTGATGCCCCACACTCGACTTGGGCTCAAAATTTGCTGTCCTCAACACTCATCGACTTGGGCTCAAAGCTAGCTATGGTCCTTACCACCGCAAGCCAGGTAGTAGAACTTACTGCCATGGGCTGACGGGAAAGCTGCCAGACCTTTGGTGCCTGTGTCGGCCGAGCGGTTTTCTGAGCACACTTTGGCTCATAGGCACCGTCTTCTTTCGGGGCAACAATGCGGCTGGATCGGAATGGCTTGGCAAAATGGCAGATTCCAGAATTGCACACCTATGCCGTATGTATGATTGCTGGATCGGGATGGCTTGGCATGGCGGGCAACGCAAGTTGGATGTGGCATGGGTTCAAGATCACTGATTCCATGCACCTCTGCCATATGATTCACACACGATTCAATGGCCTGCAGGGCCAACATGTGCCCTTCTCAGGAGAATGCCGAGAAGCAGAGGCACAAGCGGTTGCATCTTCCCCCAGAAAAGCCGGTGAGAATTTCTCGCGGCCTATCCCAGTGAATCCCCTTGAAAACAATCAGCCTATGTTCATTCCCAACCCTGGGTCATTCCCTACTGGGCACCAGCAAGACGAGGCATGGATTCCAAGGGCCCCCAAGAAACGTCCCGCGAGTTCTCCGAGATCTCTCCCGTCGCTTTGGGAGGCACACGAGCGAAGCCAGGCCGCGGTCCGTGAAACTCTTCTTGGGGCTGAAGTTGAAGACGAAAAGGCCTCAGCGGCGCGAGGTCTTTTTCGTCGCGGCCGCTCATCGAAAAGCGCAGCAACTGGGGAAGCAAATTGGAGTTGGCGATCCGTCTTTTTTGGAGTTGGCACTCCCCCCCTGTTCTGTGGCTTTGACGGGAAGCCAAGAGGAACACCGAAGCCATCTTGGGGCGTCCCCCAGATAAAAGACCCGCCTGGCCTGGGTGGGGAAACAACATGGGTACCTGTCAGCTTCCATGATTGGACGGAGGGTATGACTCGAAACAGGGGACGCCCAAGATTGTGCTTGTTTTTTTTCTCTCTTTTTTTTTTAACTAAGGTGAGAAGAGTGCCCTCAACAAATTACACACCCAAACTGAACACACCTGGAATCTGAAGAGTAAGGAAGTCTGCAGTCCTAGCAGTCCTTCGAGCCGTCACATGCCATCAAGTTTCACCCTTGGCTTTGACCGACACTAACGCTGTTGTGGGTCAAAGGGATTTGTTGACCGCAGGCGATACTGTTGCAAACCCTGCCTAGGTCCTCCAGTGGAGAGGTTAGAATAAGGGTACCCTTTCTTCTGTAGCCTATTTTAGTAGGGGAACTCTCCCCAAAAAAAGAAGCGGCAAAAGGGCACCTAGCTGGGAGACCTATGTAGCTGCACAACCTTGGTGATTCTCATTGATCCTAGCTGTATGGTCCTGCACCTCTCCGGGTTTGGTCCACAATGTGGATGGACGAAATCCTGCACCACCCAAGAAACTCTGGAATGATGATTCCCCTGTAAATACCAACCAACAATAATGTCCCGTGGTTTCAAAGTGGTGTGGGATTTCGTCCATCCACAGTATGGTTCTCACGAACAGCCCCTTCCGATGTGACTTGAGGCGAACACCATTGCCTCGCCCAAACGGATACCGGGAAAGGTAGCAACTCTTGTTTCTGAGGGACCATTCAGTGTGCCGTGTCGTTTTCCCGCTTTTCCGGCTCGATGTGCGACATTTGCTCGCCAAGAAGCAGTCCCCATGCTCGAAAACCAGGACCTTGTCGGAATCATCCTGGCTGAGCCCAACACGCGCCCACTTCGAATCGGATGTTACCTCTAGTCTTTGGCCGAGTCCGAAGCGGGAAACCAGCTCTGAGCACAGCGGCTGGGTTGGCACCGGTTTGGCTTGGCCCCAAGGAAGCACCAAACCCCTGGGATGTCCAACCTGACCCCTTGCCTAAAAATGACTAACTTGTGGGTTAAAAAACCTAAGGAACGGCACGGCTGGGAACCACGCTTTTAGCATTAAGGGGGTGGCTTTAGAAGAACCCTTTTTTTTCGTCTACCCGCCAGCCCAACAGTAATTTTCAGAACTCAACATGACTTGTAAGGACCCAGGACTTCTGTGCCAAAGCGCCTTGCGGGCGCAGTGGTGGTGCTGAGAGGTCATGAACCTCGGATGGAACCGCTTGGCACGCCACAGAGAAAAAGAGAGGACCGGTTGCAGGGGTACCACCCGTAGCCCAAGCCTATCAACCTTCTCATGTCGCACATCCTTATGAAAGTGCACACGGCTGCTTTTGGAAGAGCCAGCCCCGAGAGACAAGGTGAGCATGCTTGTTCCTGCGACATAGGGCCTTGTCATGGGCAAACCAGATTGTCGCAATTGACCCAGGTGATGGCTCCAGGTATGTCCGACAATACTTACATGAAGCAGCAACCGGTGCATGCATGGGTAGGCGCGCATGCATATACATATATACATATGTACATATACGCATACCTATACATGTTCATATACATGTGTGCTGCTTTCATTGCCCTACATCTCTTGTTCGTTTGTTGGCTGTATCAAATTTGGGTGGCACCTTCCGCATGTTTCTCAAGTCCAAGTCGCTTGAAGCGATTCTCCAGGGCCAGCATTGCCTCCTCAAAGGCCTGGCAGGGGCTTTCGCGTTTCTCGAGCTTGCTTCCTCAAGGGCCTGGCGATTTCATTTTTACCAAAAACACACACACACACACAAAAAAAAAAAAATCATGCCAAGAACAGTGAAGGCACCCCTACAAGTGGTTGCTGGACATCTTTTCCTCACCTAAAGCAGGACTCATGGCCATACATGATACATGATTCCGGACCAGCGACCCTTTGTTTGGCCTGCGTCTCTTGTTTCCCTTCTCGATTGCGATCAGCTGAAGATGCACCCCAAGCATGCCATTCACCCTGGTCCAGAAGGGTTACACCTCCAAAAGCTTCGGATCCCAAGGTCTCTGAAAGGCTCCAGCAGTGCAACTTGATCCCAGCTCAGCTTTCTGCTTTGAAATGCTACTGCGGTGTGAGGGGTTGCGTGACACTTTTCGCTCGCCGCGGTACTTGCAAGAACTCTCTCCATAAGGACCTTCTGGCAAAAAACTGGCGGCCCTGGAAATTGGAACAGAACGGTTCTAAACCAGTGCCATCCAGGTCTCTCCGATTTAAGCGATCAAAAGGACTGCGGCTCTCTCTCGCAATCCTCGAAGAACTTGTACTTCAGGTCGGCGGACTCCGGCAAATCGAAGCGTCGGATGGCGTGCTCATGGCTCCAGCCTGGCAACACCGGGATCTGCCCAGCGAAAAGCGTCCGCTTTTCGTCACAAAGAAACCCGGGGTGCGTTTTTTGGTTGGGACATTGTCAAATCACAAAAAGGAAAACGGGGATGCTTGATGTACTCTGGAACTCTGGAAAGCGCATCAGAAACTCTTCCCTAGAAGAACAGAGTTCACATACCCGAAAATTTGTCTATCTTTACTTTGGCTTATCTTAAAAACCGCCCAAAGGTTTAACATTCAAAATACAAGTGTCCAGCTTTGGCTTCTCCTTCAAACCAACCCAAAGGCAAAAACCCGATCGCAGACTTCATCGCCCTCCTGGGCTCGCCCTCGTCTCGAATCCCTGCTCCCCCTGAGGCCCCGCGCCGTTGTCTTCGGAGGGCAGCGCCACAAAGTCGGGGTGCGCAAACTCGTTGCCCATGAAGTTCAAGTAGCCCTGCGATGTTTGTTGGGCGAAATCTGCAAAGTTTTAGAAGTTTGACTAGCTTTTAGTGGCTAAATATGGAAAACCCATTAGTTGGCAAAAAGTTGAAGTCCCAACATCCAGGCAAAATGCACCAAAGTTTTGGCGGCGACTTAAGAAGAAACCTGTCCTACTATGATGGGGGGTGCTCCCTGAAGCCATGAACTCCCACTAAAAAGGGGCCTTTGGAGGCTGAAGCGTGCACGCCTTGCTTGGCTGAAACCTTTGGATCACCCTGATGAGTGGGAATTAGATGTAAGGGAGCGGTGACTGAAGCACCTTTGGATGATTTTATTGGGGAAGGGTCTGGTCGTTGCAACATGAATGGGAATGAACCTTTGGATTTTCCTTGGGGAACCAAGGTCTGGTCGCAACAAAATTTGCCCAACCCTGCTGATCATTGGGAATTACATGGAAGGGAGCACCCCTAGTTATTGTTTATTGGTGTCAAGAAGCAATCCCACAACAAGAGGACAACGGAATACAACGGAGAAGCACATGAGGCACGGCAATGGGCATAGGCAAATGTGTGAGTCTGTTGGGGAAATTTGGTGTCCCCCATGCCCCTCCCCAAAACACCATAGACCACAGGAAATGTTGGCCAAACCACGTAAACCTGCCCTCTTGTCTTCCTGGAACAGCTCAAAGGCATCTGCATGAGCGGTACAATTTGACTCTGCGTCGCAAAATATGCAAGCAGCAGCAGCAGTAAAAAAAAAGTAGAAGAAGAAGAAGAAGGACTGACTACGACAAAAAACACAAAGAGTAACCGCAAAGAAGAAGAAAACTACAACCAAATCATACTACCAACCAACGCAACCAGTGAACGCGACCACTGAACCCTCCACTGCCTCTCCACCCAGCGCCATAGAGGCTAGGCCTTTGGGCGGAGTCCGTTGAATGGGTCTCGCCCGTTTTTTTGGTTGGTTTAAAGGGAAAGAAGGGTTTAGGGCTTAGAGTTTAGGCTTTAGGGTTTAGGGTTTAGGGTTTAGGGAGGACCACCGAAGCCATCATTTTGGGGCGTCTCCTGAAAATGAAACACCCAAATGGGTTCCAAATGGGTTGCGAAATCGGATGGTCATGGTCCTTTGGGTGCGAACGATCGGAACGAGGATTGGGAGGCGGGGCTTGAGTCGAGAACAACGCCGCGGTCCATGCCTTCCTACGCAGCTCCTGCCAAGGTTCAGCAGGCACGTGGCCATTGGCAAATTGGTCATTTGGAACGTGGAAAGCACCGAACTTCTCACCAGAAATGCCTAAAGACGATCCCCCTGCAAACTGTCCAATGTCAGAGAGCAACAAGGTCCTGTTCGATGGAATCGACGGCGCCGAGGGATCCGGCACACGCAATGCGGCATTGGTCTTTCCAAGGCCAAGACCACGAGATTAAACGATTCCCTATCGATGCCAACTGTGAATAGCCAGTCCAAGCCCAATTCTTCGTCCGCAGGGCGGAAAGAAACGAGCTCTGCAAGCTCATGCCCTCCCAAAGCCATACTTAAGAATCGAACGGGTGGCTTCACCGCCCCAAATCGTCCAACAGGCCGCTCGCGAACCCCTTGAAACCGAAACGGGCGGCTTTCCCCGGCATGAGCGGATTGAGAAAAACGGGGCAAGGGACAACCCCTGTTCCTGAAATCATGGTCCTCAGGCGTCTTGAAGCAGCGAACGAAACATTGCAACTTCACAACCCTTAGTATGGTTGCAAGAAAAAAGTGTGTTTTTTGTTGCAGCCCCCTACTTAAATTGAACAAAACCCGTGAAGGCAAACCAACTGGGGAAGCAAACTTGATGCAAATTACTCTTCGGACTTGACGCGAAATTTTGTTTAATTAACTCCTTTTGATTTTTGCGGCCTTTTGCGAAGCTTCAAATTGACACCGGAGCCAATAGGAAGCGACTGGACGGCACTTGCCCCCGTCTCAGCCCCGGGCGGATCATCTTGTGCAAGGCCAGGCCCCGTTCGATGACCTCGCCTCGGACCGAAGACGCGTCCCGCCCCAAGGCTGGCCTCATGATTTTACCATGATCAAAGTCACCCCCGTTCAGTGGTGGGTTAAAGGGAAACCCCCATGTACTGACATTGATAACCCCCAGAAACGGTTAAAATAATGACCCCAGCAAGATCGATTCGATGCGGGGAGGCCGGGGGCGGACGGCATCTTTTTTTCGGGCAAGATCCTTTCTATGGATCAAAAATCACCTTCCCGACGAGCTCGTCTGGTAATCTGGCAAGGAACTATGACAAGAACTCTCCGGCCGCATTCTGTTCTGTGCTGAGATCCCCTGCTAAAAGTTGAACTTTTCGTGCGTGAAATGGAAACTAAAAGCCACTAAAACCTCAGGAACCGGATGGCCGGGAACCACAATGCTATTGCTGAGAGCATACCCAGCTCCCCCCCCCCCCCCCCCCGCGCGAGAGAGCATACTCGCGACCTCCCTGACAAGCCCACAGGTCACACCCCATCCTCCAGCTTCTGCCTTCTGCGCCAGGTGTCAGAATTAAAAAAACCGGACCCCAAAAACACTCTGGGGCGCTTTTCCTCTTGATTTTCCCTCACGCTGAACGCACGTCACAAAAACTCCACCTGGCGACAGGACTCGACCGATTGCTCCAAGCGGCTCTCCGGGTCCAGCAGGCTCATGTGGGAGCACATCTCGGCCTCCGCTCCCCAGGCCCGGGGCTCGCTTTTGACTCGCGTCCTAAACCTGGCCCTCCTCTCGGCTTCCCGAAGAAAAAAAGGGCGGGAACCCGAAACTCGGTGGCGAAATCTGCGAAGCCCCGGCTAAAGTGACTGACTGTTCGTGGCTTAATTCGGAAAGCCCATTGGTTGGCAAAAAGTTGAAGTCCTAACATCCCTTGGCAAAATACGCCAAAGAAAAGGGGAGCCATGTTGAGAAGCGCTGTGCCACGGTGAGAAAAAAAAATCCGCCCGGTGCGAGTCATGGTCATCGCATCAAGGAAGAAATCCTCACAACGGCGGCACGAACGGCCCTATGGACTGAAAGCCACCAACCTGAACCGATTGGAGATGCCAATGGAAGACGAGAAGGGGGCCACTGGAAGAACGTAAAAACATGAGGGAGAGGGGAGCGTCCTCTGCAAATGTTTGCCACGATATGATTGTGCAGCGGTTGATGACCATTCGGAAACCCACTCAAAAGAATAACTTTCCCCACATGGGAACCAGGGTTTGCCATCCCTTTAAAGGGAACCTCCAAAAGTGGAAAATCCCAATGGTTCCAGTGGAAACCACCAAGACGAAAAGAAAAGAAAAATCACCTTTCCTTTCATCCAATCTTTTCAATGGGTTACCCACCAGTATGAAATCAAAAAACAAAATCACACACACACACACACACACACACACACACACACACACACGCACACCCGCCCCGTTTTCCCAGCCGGACCCAACAACTCCCTGGCCACTCGCCACGGCGCCACGGTGCGCTTCGTTTTGGCCCCCGGGCGCCCATGAGGCACGAGGCCAGCGTCCGGCCCTCGATGGCCTGGAACCCCGGGGCCCAACTTCAAAACCAGCGGCTCGAGGCCCAAAACCCCCTGGGTCCAGCAGAGTTCGATTTTTGGGCACCAACTCTTTTCTGTAGTCTATTTAGGGGAACCCTTCCACCCAAAAAAGAAACGGTGAAAGGGCACCGAGCTGGGGGACCTAGTCCCAAGTAGACAGGAACATATTCCTGGGACATGGGATTTCCCTTTTTGCACCCCAAAGCGCACCTTTCGGGTATCCTATCCAGGATCCAATTTGGCAAAAATAAAAAGGCCTGACGCGAGGCGGCAGAGCCAAAGGCCTCAGAGCCGATACTTCTTGAGGCTGGAACAGCGGTTGGTATTTGAGTGTCTCTTTTTGTGAGTTGGTACCTTATGTTTGGTGGTTTAAAAGGAAACCAAGAAGAAAACAGCCATTTTGGGGGTCCACATCCTAAACAAAGACACTTTCATTTCTGACCTGCCAATTGTTTTTCGGGGGACCCCCTAAAATGTGCTGTTTCTTGGAAACCCCCATAGTGTTTTTTAGTTTTTTTCCGCCAGCCATTTGAGGGGTTCCGATTCCCCTACTTGACAGAAGCGCGTGGGTCTGTGTTCAAATGCCCCCGCCTGCTCATGGCACTCCGCATAGACGATGCAGGGCTCCTGGGAGCTGGACCCCCAGGTTATCATCAGCCATGTTCGCATCAAGGAGAGAGCTTGGTCGACGTTGGGTTTGGGGAGCAAAAATCTTTAAAAAAAATAGCGGTTGAGTGGATTTGGATTTCAACCAAACCACAAGAAGCAAAATGTAAGATGTGTCCCAACGACAACTATGATATGGGCACGAATTTTAATTGGGGACCCTCTGGTGGACTTGATTTAGGTGGGTTTTGTTGTCCACCAATCACTTTCCGGGCCCTATTTACATTCATAGGGTCAAAATCCACGGGACATGGGTCATGGTTTAAACATATGTAGCTATGGGTCAAAACTCAAATCGTACCCCCAGTCAACATCCCAATCCAACCGCTAAAATAGGTGTCAAAATGGGTGGTGAATTCACCTACCCCAAAATGGTACCATTGGTGTTGACCCACGGCCATGTGTGTCCTTTTGGTAAAACAGATAGCCCTGGTAAACGGAATAAAACCCAGCCAGAACCCAGTGACCTAAAAAGGGACAGCCATGATCCCAAAGTGGATGGCTCTCCTTTTCCCTTACCAATCAAAAAAAGGGTAACCTGCCACACACTCACCGAGTGACTCAACATGTTGCAAGTGCTCATTCTTCTGGTCCTAATCAGCCGCAAACCACATTGGTTGAACACGGGTTTTCCACGAAATGCTTTGACACGCTGTGAGTTCATGTCAAGATCTGTCCAGCTTACTGTCGCATCCAATCTACAAAGAAATAAGCCTCTGGACAGGAATGGTTTCACTGGGCCTCTCCAGAGGAATGGTTTCACTGGGCCTCTCCAGACAGAGGCCGCAAGAAAAACAAACAAGAATGGGGGCCCAACACAAAGCGCAAAGAAATGCCGTCACTTGCGGACATGGTCTGACAATTTATCTGAGATACCACATTCACGAGCCTAGGCCAAAACTCTGTCGTGTGGGTTTTGGGCATATCTCAGCCTGAATATTCCTCACGGCCGTCCAGGACCATGAAAGGAAACATAATACTGTGGATGCACTACCGTTTAGAAACCCTGCAACGATGGTCCCCTTGTAAATACCAACAAACAAGGATTAGGTGGTGTAGGAGTTCGTCCATCCACGGTCGTTTTAGTGGTTTGCCCCAAATGCCCTCTGCCGTCCTTGAACCGCTTCTTCCTGAGGCCGTCGGCTCGAGCGAGCTTTGTGCAAGCAGAACACTTTGAAGCCTAGGTCCTTTTGTTAAAATAGATGGCACTGGTAAATGAATAGAACCAACCTGCCATCAGTGCCATCTATGTTCAACCAAGCTAAACTAAAAAGGCCACCTATGCTTAGAAGTACTCGGTGACCGTCAGACGCAGTCCCATGCACCGTCTGTGGGCGCCCTTTCGACCTCCTGCTTGGGAAACAAAAACAAAGGATGAACTGCAGAATGCAGGATTTCATGGACCCTGCTTGGTGTCCTTTTTCTGGCCCCCGGATCCTGACTCTCAAAGTCACCCCACAAGTGGGAGGGGTCAGTTGAAAAAAACAAAAAGATATCCTTCCTTCGGAAGGTAGTTCACCGGAAACCCAAACAGGAAGCCAGCCGCTGCGATTCCAACTTCCAACTGCGCGCCAGGGCGCTGCAGGTGTTTCACCATCCGGCTGACGCTCCAGGCCTCGTCGTGCTGCTCCTGGCACACAACCGAAGCCGCCGGAATCCGCCGTGGCTCGGAGGCGGACAAATTTCGATCGCGCAGTCCAAGTGGCTGGCTTTGGTGTCCAACTTGCAAGTCGCTAGTTTGACTGGCAATATCAACCTCAGCAAACAACTCGTTTTTCAACCCCGTGCTGCCAAAAAAAGGCAGCAAACTGGCAGTTGGGAGGCTGCTGAATGGTGTGTTGGGTCTGTCCTTTTTGGGTTGGGTACCCCGTTTTGGTGGGTTTTAAAGGGAAACCGAAAAACAAAACAAAAAACAAAAAACAGACCCTTTCGTTGTGGCAAAGAAGTGTCCTGCAGCATTTTGGTCCACAGGCCAGGCACTTGCACGGCCATGCAGTAGTCAAAGCCTCGGCCGCGTCGGGGGAAAAAGACCAACAAAAAAAAAGTCACAACCTGTCGCACCCACCTGCTCGCACGGGTCACGGGCCTAGCCGTGACCCCCACAAATACCGAACCGGATGTTAGCCCCCACGAGTTAATTCTGTAGTCTATTTTAGTAGGGGAACCCTCCCCCAGAGAAAGGGGCAAAAGAGCACTACTGGGGGACCTAGAGTTCCTAGCATGGCAAGTTTCACTTTGGTGTACACGAAGGTATGCCATGTTGCGAGCTGAGGGCTTGTTTTGCTTCACGGGTGTTCAACAAATCCGGGTGGGTTAGAATTGTTGGAAGGACCCCCAAAAAGATTATGGGTTTCCTTTTGGTTTCCCTTTATGCCAACCTACAAAGGGTACCATCAAGAACACAAGCCCATGAGGATCCTTACTACCAGGTGCATGACAGTTGATCCTTACTACCATGGGATGACCATTGGTCGGAAAAAGACCAAAAAGATGATAGGCCCCAATAAACGGGAAAGGTTACTTGTGGTCATTTGGGGGCCGAAGGGAATATTGATCAACCCCCAAATGACCATCCCTGTTACTCCGAAGCAAAGGAGCCGGTCTTTTGACCATTGCTCATTTGGTCAGTGGGACGAGAACCCAACAGCTTGCCCCTAAGACGCCGGCCAAAACCTCCGTCCTCAACGGGTCGGCATAGAGTGGGCATGCCAGACGAATCCTCGCGGATTCGAACTCGGCAAATCAAGGTGTTCATCATTTATGTTGATGAGTGCTTTGAAAATATCAATACTATTTCCTGCTTCTTTTATTGTTGTCTTTGGTCCAATGTTGTGGGTGTCGGCTTCTGCACCTTCCTCGAATCTAGTTAATGCTGGTATTGAAGAGTGGGGAGATTGTGTTTTAAGGAACTATGGCTATGATGATAAAACAGGGGGGAGGGTGCCCCAATATTTCAAAGAGGAATCAACTTAATTTGAAACCCAAGGGGGAACCCCAAACTTAACCAAGGGTTGATGAGCTCCATTCGATGCCACTGCTAACCCAAAGAAGTTGTTCCCATACTTCAACCCCCACGTGTTAGACGACGGCATGGAGCAAAGGGAAGCCGGGCTGCGCACAATAAGCGCATATGACTGTCCCTGAAGCACACGGTAAGTATCCAGTTTGCATCGGAGCCGTTGAAAAGGCCAACGTGTTCTTCGGTGACCGCGGGTTTTAGTCCTTGGTCCATTTGCCAGGGTGACATTTTGGGCTCTCTCCCAGCCCTCTCTCCCCCCCTCTCTCCCCCCCGTCTCTCCGCCCCCTCTCTCCCCCCTCCCCCCCTTCCCCCCCTCCCCTTTCCTGAGATCGTTCTCACCTGGCCCTCTCTGAGCAAATCGGCAAATCCGCCAATGTCTCAACGACTCAACGCGCAAACGCGCGAGCGAAGCTGCCCCCGCCTCAGCGATGGTCACGCCGGAGCGCGGCAGCAGCTTCTTCACGAGGTAGTTCGCGAGCATCAGGTAGGTACTGGACCTGCGGAAGAAAAAAGAAAGAAGAGCATACGGGAAACTCCCCGACATATAAATATCATTGTGAAGCAGACCTCAACAGCGTTGCTGCTAATCCTAACATATTGAAAACAAGAAAGTGATCAAGGCTTCGGAGTCTGTGCTGCAGACAAAGAAATGGAGACATACGGAGCAGATCCCAAATAAACAGGTGGCACACCCAAGTGATGTGGCGGAGAGCAGTGAGGTTCCACCTCTCACAGCTTAGGACACTTCCGAGGCCGGTTTAGGCGGCACAGGATGCCAACTAGATCCATCTGGAAATCAAATCAGAAGCTTCCATTTGGTTAAGACCCCTGGAAAAAAGAAGGTCCAGTAGTGATACATTCTTTTTAAAACCAACAGGGGCAAATAAAAATATTCTTAAGCAAATGGAAGGAAGAAGAAAGTCGAGATCCTCTGGACATCCGAAGGACATCTCCGTGCGAACATCCGCTGGTGCATAGGTGACCGTTTGGACAAATAGATGGGGTTTTCATTTTGGTACATGGGAGATCAAGCCCATCTTCCAGCCAGTGGAATTGATCCATTTCCAACCCAAAGATCACCTAAAGAAGGACGCCCACAGCGCTGCTGCCCGCGCTCCAGCTCCAGGGCTCCGAGCTCGATGTCGGCATCCATCCCAAAGTACCTCGGGCCGATCTCCATCCCATGAGCGCCCTCAGGCTTCGTCGCTCCAAGAAAAGGATGCCACTCCTTCAAGAGAAATGAGCGTGCTCCCATTGGTTGCTTGCTTGCTTAAAAGAAATAGTCGCTCCCAATTGAAAACGTTGCTCCCGTTGGTTGTTTTTGTCAGAGACAAAAGGCAAGGGCACTTGCGTTGGGTTGTTACAAGCCTCCCAACTGAAACTCCAACTGGAACCCCACAGTGTGGTGCTTTTCTCAAGCAGATCCATCCCATTGGTCGCGGCTCGTCTTTTTTTGAGGCAAAGGGTTCCCCTTTGTTTGTGGCGTTCAAGGGAAACCCAGAAAGGAAATAAAACAATGAAAGTCTTTGGGGAGTCCAACCTTGGAGACGCACCATGGTCATCCACTCCTTTTCGTGGGCCGGGTCCATCCACTCAGCTTAGTTCATCTGGGCTTCGGACTGGTGGTAGTCATGGCCAAACGACTTGCCGATGCCATGGGAGTGGTACCTCTGCAGCACAAAGTGTCAGTTCAGAGTACTTCTTAGAACCTAAATAACCACACAACAAATCTAAACCACCAATTGAGGGTTTCTTGATTAATTCCGGCACCTGTGTCCGTTTCTCCATTTCTAGCTGAAGTGCCCTGGGTCATGGTGGGCATCAATTGACAGTCCTGGGAAGGTCCTGTTAGTTTGTGTTCATGGTTCTTTGAAGCTTCCGAAGGTGCCATGTTAATCGTCTTATGGTGCGTGTTGGGGGCGGGTGTTGAATGGCAGTCTCATTATAATTTCCCCCCACAAAACAGGAGGCTCGATCATCTTTCTTGTGCGGGTAGGTGTGTCAAATACTAGGTCCTCCAGTGGAGAGGTTAGAATAAAGGTGCCCTTTTGCTGTAGTCTATTTTAGTAGGGGAACCCTCCCCAAAAAATGGGTGAGAAAGGGCACTACTGGGGGACCTAGAATAGGACCGCAAATGAGTGTTCGTCTGTTTCGCTTTAACCCGACCTCCAGTAGATTCTCAGGACAAAAACTCCAGACGCTTCCATTTCCGTTCTTTCCAGGGATCCTTGCTAGAAAACCTCCGGAAACCCAGGGAAAACGGCTGCTTTTTGAAAAGAACGATGGTTGAAAAGAATGGGGAATCAACCCCTAGAAAAAACCACTCAGCATCCTCCCCCGTTTTTGAGCCGGGCTCGAAGGGGCCGTTGGGACCCTCAAAGAAAAGCTACAAGCAAATTTTGGGGACCTGGACTTGGACCAACGTGGGGGCACGAAAGGATTTCCCAAAAAGAAGCTGATCAATTTACTTGTTTCCACTAAAACCGCCACGTTTGGGAGGTTTCAAAAAGGGAAATGGAGGAAACCCTGCAAAGGCCAAAAGATTAAACAGGTTGGTTTGCTTTGCGCAAGTGAGACGATAAGCCAAGCCGCAGCATGCTGGTGACTCCTCCGAAGCGAAAGCCGTCAAATCCGTACTCCTGGCGTCCGGAAGCTTGACCATGGCATGACCATCACTGACTTGCTTGTCTTTCTTGAGCCACAATCAATCTAAGGGTTCCGGTCAAGAGCATCCTGACGAATGACCAGGAACATGGGCCATGTAAGGGTTCCAGTTGAGAACATCATGAGGAATGGGCCATTTGAGCCACAATCAAAACCCGGGTAGATGAAGATTAGGGGACCATCCCAACCATAAATAGCTGCGGATATCCGCCTTCTTAATTCTGTACATGGCTCTGGGTAGACCATTTTAATACCGGGTTTGGATTGTGTCTTTCTTGAGCTTTTACTCAGTTCTCCATGGAGAAAGGGACTTTCCTTTGCCTGGTGTTTTGGTAAGCAGGAGGGAAACCGAGCGCCAATAAAATAAGGCCAGGTGGTCTCCCCAACCGCAAAGCCCCGGAAGCCCTTGCGGAAAGAGCCGCTCCGGACCACTCCGGAGCGGAGACCCCCACAGCTTTCAGCTGGAGAAATTGCCCCGCCTACGCTGCTTGGTTTGGTGGTCACGCTTTCCAAACATAGGTGTCCTTTTAGGGCAAACAGATGGGTTTCCCTGGATGATTAAACCGCCAGGTAAACCAGGGCAATCTATGTTTCCACCAAATCAACCAAAAAGGACACATATGGTTCCAAACCACCCATCCAAACCAACTACGGGTTACCTGATACACATGCCGCGGCTCCTCGATCCACCACCGGAGGTTGGACAACAGAAAGCGCAGGACCTGACGAATCGATCCGCCGAATCTCTCGGCTGGTCTAAGGGGAAACCACTTCCGGCCCAAGACGCTCAATGGACAGAACGAACAGAGTTTGAGTGATACACGTTCCATCAAAACACAACTTCCTCCACAGCTGTCACATGGGTATGGGTCAAAATTAAATAACCAGGGGACCACAGGTTTTAGTCATTGTTTCTATTTACCAGGGTGCCATTTTGGGTACCTATCTTTGAACAGCTGTCACATCAGCCTCTGAGATAACCATGTAAATAGCACACCCGGAATTCGGAGTGAGTCTGTGGGTCCATGTTCCCCAGGCAAAACAGGACGAGAGCATGGCTCATTACACCCATGGAGAGGTCCATTGTTGATGTCTCAAGATGGAGTCCACCAGCCCCAAACCACTAGCCCCGAGACACTGCTGGGGTATATACTCTGTACATGGCTGTATAGCTGTATAGTGGTAATATGCCGAGGCCCAGGTTGGAATAAGGGTACCCTTTTGCTGTAGTCTATTCTAGTAGGGGAACCCTCCCCCAAAAAAGAAACGGCAAAAGGGCACTACTGGTAGCCATTCAACACGCACCGGCGCCGGGCTCTGGAAATGTCCACCAAACATGGAGATTCTCCTGTTCATGGGCGTCCTTTTTAGCTAAGCCTAGTTAACAATAGCTCCAGCTGAGTCCTGGGACCTGTCACTAGTCCACGCCCAGACGGGTCCAAAGTGGCAAGTCGGACACGCCTCGTACTTGCCGTAGTCGAACAGCGAGGTGCCCCATTGCTCCTGCGGCTCAGCTTCCGAGCAAGGGGCGTGTTGGTCAAGTGGGGCCTCCCAGATCACGTGATTTGGCAACCAGAAAACAAGGCTTGAGATCATAGGCGTCCTCTGGGGGAAAATCGATGGCCCTGGCAGACTATGAAGGGATTTTCTTCGCAACGGGAATTGCGTGCAGGGTGCTTGGAGGCCTTTATCCAGGCGAGAGCTGGCCTTTGTCCATTGCAGCAAAGCATGGTACACCTGGGGAAAAGAGAGAGCCATTGAAAAGGGGAGCCGTTCAAATTTGCACACCTTGGGCAAACATCATCTGCACTTCTCAAGCATAGGTGTCCTTTTTGGATGCTTTGGTAGAAACTCAACGCCCACCCGACGGAAAAAAAAAAAAAAAAAAAAAAAGTTGCGTCGGCTCTCCTGCTTGCCCTTGCTTCCGCCATGCCTGGTGCAGATCGCGAGTCAAGAAAAGCTTCCGGATTCCAGAAGTGAATGACCTCCTTCAAATGGCGAGGTTGGAGGGACCATACGGGTCTGTCTTTTCTCAGGTTGGGGCGGAAAGGCTTTCCTTTTGGTTTTCCCATTAAAACCCCAAAAAGGTATACCCTCAAAAAAGAACACGCCCGTCTCCCTCCCACATTTAGATGCCTAGGATGGCGCTCGATGCCGATCCCTGCAAACAAAAACAGACAGGTCCAACGGCGTCTCGGCAGAATCCTTAGGCCTTCCTTAGGTCACCTGGGCGTGTGTATTTTTAAAGGGCACCTTTTCAAGGTTGACCAAAAGGAAAAACCTCCATTTCGAGATTTGGGGGAAAAAGACCCAAGCCACTCAAGGCTTTTGAGCACCGCCTTTGTCAGTTCTGTGGAATCCGTCCATCGTCTGTCCATATTTCGGGGTGTGTCCGGCAACGCCGGACTTCCATCCCTATTTGCCCAAACCTGTCCGGAGAGCAAGTGGAAGTTGATGCAAAGGGAATGGGTGGCCGCAGAAATGCGCCCATTACCTAATTCCCTTCCTGCTTCGCTGCCTGCTTCCTTGCCTCTTCCTAAACCCACTGGCCAGTCGGTCACTGTCTGATGCTTCAGGTTCGGAGGTGTGCTATCAAAACCAGAAAATCGAAGTTCGCAGTTTCGTGACATAAACAAAACTTGCCCAAGGCATAGCGGACTGGTCAGGCTGCTCAAAAAACCAGGCCCTTGACCTTCTTTGTTTTGTTGCCGAGGTGCGTGTAGCAGTTGTCGGTACCATCCATGGCAGCGAGGCCATCCACCCTCGCCAATGTGGATGTGGCTGAGGTCAAAACCGTTTTGGGATCCCATTTTGGTTGGTAGGTGCACCACCCCATTTTAGGACCTATTTTAGTGGTTGGATTGGGATGTTCACTGAAGAAAACCGGGCTTTTGGCCCACCATGTGTCAAGGTTGGACGCCGCCAAAAAACAAAAAGAAAACAAGAAGGAAACCAAAAACGTGGCTTCCTTTCGGCTTCCCTTGAAAGCCACCAGGGAGCCACAAGGGATTTCTCCATGGCTTTCTCAAGGTGCCTGGTTTCAAGGGTCCAAAAAGGCTCCTTTGTTGAGACAGACCCAAGGACGACAGACCGCATGTTCATGTGTGCCATCGGCCATGGTCATATGCTCTTTTTCTTGGGTGTGGCTCAAAATTAAGCAGGAGGGGTTACGCAGGTTTTGGTCAATGTTTCCACCCACCAGGGTTCCATTTTGGTACCGGTTTTTTGAGCCACCGCCATTTAAGTCCAGGAACCTTTACATAAGTAATGTCCACAAACTCAGGCTGATGACCAAGCCTACCAAATAAGGTCATTGGGCCATGGCACACGTGTTCGAACCAAGAAACCAGCCCAAAGTAAACCCCATCCTTTTGGTACAAGCCTTGCCACTTTCCTGAGCGACCCTTCAGACTGCTCAATCATAGTGTCTCAAGCCACTACCTGCTGACCCTTCTCGATTGGCTTTCTTTTTAGAGGAGCGCCTGCTTTGTGCAAGGCGGTCGCTTTCCTCGAAACTGAACCAAATAGGAGCCAAAGACTGCTCCTGCGCCTTCCCTGTCCCCTCAGCTTTTCAACCCGGGCTGGACCCACAGCAAAGGCGGTTTTCCTTGTGGTTTCTCTTTAAAACGAACCAAAAGAGTGTACCCTCACAAAATGACCCATCTGTGTTTGAAGAAACTCTCCTTGAACGAAGGGGGTAGGGCGGAAGCTGACACCCATTCTGCAGGCCAGTCAAAGCACCCAGCCAGGCAATTTCAACAACCTGTTCGAAGCCTCGCACACAAAGAGAAAAGTATGTGACGCTGTGTGTCAACATAGGGGTCCAAAAATGGTGCGGGTGTCTTTTCGTATCCCTTTAAAACCCACCAAAAGGGGTCTCCTCAAAAAACGGCGAAAGATCAAGATCGGTGCTGCTCGCGTACTGCAAGCGTCAACAAATGGAGGTTTGCGAGCTTTGCCCTCCACCCCAACGCGTCTCAAGTCTTGACATAGTTGCCATCTTCAAACATCTTCCGGAATTACAACAACTCACCCCAGCTCCCCATAACCGCCCCAACTTCACCGCCCCTCTTTTCCACTTCAAATCTCCCTCACAGATTCCCGCTGCAAAAAACCTCGAAGCCTTCGACCTTCCACCTGCGGCGTTGCAAAAAAAAACCGCTGTTGCGGAATTTTTGTTTACTGATCTCAGCCTGGAATGACACTACTGTCTGGAAAAACGACGGTTTACTGTCGCTATTAACACTAGTCCCGCTTGATTTCGGCCCCCCGGCTGGTCAGAAGAGCAGTGCGCATGCACCAAGTCCATAATCACCGTCAGGCCGTAGGCGTGGGCCGTGTCCACCAGATCCTCGCTCACAGCTCATGGGCCTTTCAAAATCCAAAGCCCAGGTACTCCCCAGTGAACATCCGATTTAATGCAACCACTAAAATAGGTTCACTCAAATGGGTGGTGAATTCACCAATCCCAACCAAAATGGGATCCCAAAACGGTTTTGACAACCACGGCCACATCCGACCAAACTCCGAAAACCCACTCGAGACGAATCTCTCGGGTTGCAAAAAAGCGACCAACGCGGCGCACGAGGGGGTCCCCGTAGTTCCACACGTTCCTCCCCCTCCCCCAAAAAAAACGGGACGAGCCCCTGTCCCATCAAAAAACAAATCCCTTTGTGGGTTCCGGAGAAGAATATAAAAAAGCGACGATTCCCCGTTTCCTTGGAAAACAACCCACTGAAAACAGTGGAGTCAAAACATGAAGGAAAGGGAAGGGAAGGGAAAACTAGGAGGGTTATCTCCTTGAAATGGAGTAGCTCTTCAGGTCAAAAAGAAAACCCATCGAGGAAAAAAAAAACATTCAATTTTGGGTGTCGAATTCTCCCCCCTTAAGGGGAAGGGGCGTGGGGGGTCCCCAATTCCATTTATTGAGTCTTCCTCCTAAAAGGGAAAATGGAACCACAAATGGAATTCCAGGGGTCACCCCCCTCCCCCAAATCCATTTTTGAAGGGGTGGGGGTGTCGACTTATTCTGACACTCCAAACAGGGATCCTTACATTATACACCTGAACATTGCCTTGTAAATGGTGGTTTCCCTTTAGTTTTGGTGGAAAAAGCCATCTTTCAAATGGGCAAAAGGTATCTTTTAAGGAGCCCTGCCAACTGACCTCGTGTTCCAGCAGATCTTTTTTCCCGCCCGAGAGCTTCCAGAAGTTTCAGTCCTTGAGCTCGTCCGGCGTGCCCAGTCTGCTTGCTGGGGCGAAGAAGTTGGTGACATGGTAACCTGCATGGCCAACCCCGCAAAAACAAATATGTCACACCCGGGAACAAAAGCAGAAGCCAACCCGGGAAAAAAAGATTCGAAGTCACTTGTGTGGTTCACTTTTGAGGCGAAGCTTCGCCCGCCAAACTCACGAACCGCTTGAGAGAGAGAGAGAGAGAGGGAGAGAGAGAGCGAGAGAGAGCGAGAGAGACTGGGTGATCGCTTTATCTTACTATTCTCAAAGTCACCCCCTAGGTGGTAGAAAAAGGGAGCCAGCCCCAGTTTCTGACCTTGACAAGCCCTGGGTGGGAGAAAAGACAAAGCAAGGCTGGCACCCCGCTTCAATCTCAAGGCTTCTTGCTTTACGGTTGCCCATTCAACCCCTTGGTTATACTGTGTCAACCACATTGTCAGGGCTTCCGTAACGGAAAAAGGGGTTGGGTTGGCTGTTTCAACATGTGTTGCCAAACCCTTTGTTCAGGACCTGAGTGCTAACGCACTAAAAGGGCATGTTTCCTTTTTCCCGCCAGTTTACCCTCCTTGGGTTCAAAACTGCTTAAACTTGCTCCGTCGCTCTTGTTCTTAGCCAAAATCGCCACCTCAAAACGACCAAAAAAAGAAGCCGCGGGGCTTGTGGTCCCCGAACTCTTCTCAGCGCATCGTTTTCTTCTTTTTTCTGAGGTCCGAACCATAGGAGCCGTGCCAAGCATGCTCCGCCACTGCCATGACCTGGCCGAACCGACACGGAAAGGACCGGTGTCCATGTTCGACCATCGAGCACCCCACCAATTCACATGGAACCTGACGGGAAAGGACCTGGTCCCTTTAAAAGGAAATGGTTGAGACCCCTGGAAAAAAATAAATTGTCCAGTAGTGATAGATTTCGTTTAAAACCAACAGGGAAAAATAAAAATATTCTTCAGCAAATGGAAGATTAAAATGGAACCTGACAGGAACCCGGTCCAATCGAAAGGACAACGGTCTTCTCCAGCACCCCCCGAATGTCAGGTTCCATGTTAATTGGTGGGAGGTAAGGGGTTGAATACGCCGGTCAAGCTTACAGGCTTCTCGAAAAAGGAGTGGCCTATTGAAAGGGCTTCTGATCACAAAGCCCCTCGCCCGACGGCGCGCGGTTTTTTCACAAAGCGTCTCCTGTGCCTGCAAAGCATTGTAGCCGAGACGTTTGATGCGGGGCAGGATCTCCTTGAATTCCAAGTACCTTCGGGCAAAGTCCGGCACTTCGAGCGTAAAAAAGCCTTGCCTCCACAAAAACGACGCATGAAAGAAAATGTTGACACAAGGCATCGAAGCATCAACTTCAACATGCTGCTGCAAAAGCTGCGATGCTCATGGTGTTGTTGCTTCTAGAGGGCAATGCAAGTCATCCTCCCAAATTTTGACATGTCGCACCACTTAGCAGTGGTCGCTGGACTCCCCTTGAAAAGTGCATTTTACTGATGAGTTCCATCGAAACTGCCACTGTTGGAGGTTCCAAGAAAGGGACCATGGAGGAAAGCATCAGCTTAAATGCCATCGAGCTGCGTGTGAATTCGCTCCTCTTTTCCTGCGATGCCTGGCGCGGATATCGGCCAGACAATTTGATTGGCCTCTCGACAGTTTCAGAGACCCAGTGGGTTCAAGTCGGGTAGCCAAACAATGGGCAGCCTGTTCTCGGCTGTGGATCTAAAAACGGCCCAGCAAGCCGTTTTTAGCACATCAGAACAAGTCAACTCCTATGTGAGTCATAATCAACACCCGTTCTTAACGTGGTCTACCCAGAATCATGTAAAGAATTGAAAAGGCAGATTTCCTTTTCACCCATTCACGGAACGGGGAGTTTCCCTTACGGGCCCTTACCCTCCAATTTTGCGGGTTTTCAGCAAGCGACTCACGTGAACTACTTCAATACGCTGAGCCATCGGCTTGTCGACGGAAGTTTTCCCCGCTTAGGAGAAAGCGGAAAGAGTCGCAGGGCCAGGAGTCGTTGGCGCGTTGGCGAGCGCCAAGCCTGCAACCTTGCCCCAGATTTCGTTGATACGTGTGGATACCCACATTCTTGGGGCTCCGATGCCCATGGGTCAAAAGCCAAATCGTATTTCCAGTGAACATCCGATTCAATCCAACCACGAAAAAATAAAGCCTAAAATGGGTGGTGAATTCACCAATCCCAACCAAAATGGGATCCCGTTTAACGGTTTTGACAACCACAGCCACATGGAGGACCCAAAATCCCTTCAAAGGATCCACGTTGGGTCTTTCCCTTAGTGACCTTCACTTACCCGAGCTTTGATTCTGACTCAAACGGATTTCGCCCCATCAGGCGAGATAGGAGATCCACTCCGAACCTGTCAAAGTGTCCAGCTTTCGGGGGTTCAAGCCACTTCTCAAAAGCCACCCGCCCGGCACCTGGATGGGCTTCGTAGATCTTCAGGTTCTGTGGGCGCGGCGGCCTCGCGATTTGGTGAGTAGGTCCTCCAGTAGACAGGTTGGAATAAGGGTACCCTTTTTCTGTAGTCTATTTTTAGTAGGGGAACCCTCCCAACCAAAAAAGAAAGGGTAACAGGGCACCTAGCTGGGGGACCTAGGTAAGTTTGTTACATGTCATTCTCGCCGAGAGGTCTTTTGATGGCACAGTCCACATACGGCAACTCCCGAAAGCCTGAAACTGGGAATGAAGCTTAATTGGGGGCCCTTTGGTGGACATCAAAATTCGGGGATTCATGTCCACCAATCACTTTTGCGATGGCTCATTGAAATTCCATGGCATGTCAGGCGTTCACCTGTTCAAGCCAAAGCTTTGTACCTCAGGATCTGAGATTGCGGAAACGCTGTCTAAAATTCATGGGGGCTGGGGGGGAGGGAGGGGAGGGGGAGGGAGCCCTAAATAAGGCCTTTTTAAGGGCTTAATAGGGGCTGATTTAGGGCTCTCCCCCCTCCCCTCCCTCCCCCCCAGCCCCCATGAAAAATGCCTGGGACACCTGGGACACCCATGTTATCCCAAGTCATAGGTCAATGAAGCATCGGATCCAAGTAACGGCCATCCAGTCGGGAGCCAAAGGCGCAACAAGCCTTCGGGTCTGAGAAAAGGAAACCCGCCTTGTGGGACCTTGGGTTGTGTTAAAGGAAAACATAGGAAAACCAAATGGAAACCGTTTTAGGGGGTCACCTAGTTTGAAAACAACCACTTGATGCTGTTGTGACCTACGCTGGAAGCCTCACTGGCGTTTTACTGATTTGTTTTATTGGTTTCAGGACGTTTCCTTTACGATTCACATTTAGGATCTCAATACGATGTCCGCAAACGTTTATGCTTAGCATGTATTTTACGCGTTTAGCCGCCCTCCGCCAAAAAAGACAAAGTTCTCCCACCTGAAGGCAGGGGGTGCCGGAAATCGTTAAACAAAACGTTTGAACAAAGAAAGCACGTCAATACATCAGAACAGAATTGTAAAATTAGCATTAAACAAAACACGATGTTGCTGGCTCCATTGCGATTCCGGCTACATTTGCGATGCTGAATTTTTGTGACTTAGCTGTTTAAATTATTATGCTGTAGTTTTATTACTTCCCGGACTCACCAACTTCCTGTTCCGAAACTCCCCAAGATGGGTATACTAGAAGCAAAGGTGTAGACACATCGTAAAACCGGCGTAACAGAACATAATTGAAATTGAATCTGAATCATCAGGTAAATAAATCCATTTGCAAGAAAAACGGCTTTCCTCGACTTAGCCTGCGCCGTAGGTCACAACATTCATGACTTTCCTAGACCAAGCCGTTTTGCCCCGCCAAAAGCGGCACCATCAGCGGCAATTGGCCCGGTCACACCTCAGTTGGCACCTTCATGCAGTTCCTAGAATATCCACCTGAACTGTACCCCCCCACCACCACCCAAAAAACAAGAATCTAAGAAACAAGTGGCTTCCTGTTGCTCTGGTGAAAAAGGACAGGATTTCTATTAGTGGCAACCGTGTGTCTTTTAAAGGAGCCCTGATAGATGCCTCAAAGCTTCTTTCCTCTGGGGCCTCCGGCCTTGCATGTCGCATCACATAGCGCGCCGAGGGAGATGGCTCCCACATCACGCCGTTGAAGACGTTCACGTCAGAATTCTGCACGATCGAGCACGCGACCAGGCGTTCGGAAACCAGCCGGGCGTTGTTCGAACGGCCGAAAATGATGCGGGAGAGTCAAGATGGCTCGCCCAAAACAAGGGCTCTCTCATAGCCGAAATTATGTTCTGGCCCACGAGGCCAACCCAAGTGTGCCAAAGGGCTGCAGAGCACCGATTTGTTCAACTGGATCCAAACAGGTGGCCCAACCCCCAGTCGAGACAGCTTTGATGCATCCGTCCTGCCGTGCCAACTTAGACCAAGCAGGCACACGCTCCACTTTGCCGAACTCGGTCTCTATTCGCAAACCTCGGGCAGCATCAATTTTCATGCTGTCCCCTGAGCAAATCGAGCGTGAACCCAGGCTTTGAATTGGGTGTCTCTTTTTTTGAGGGTACCTTTTTTGGGGGTTGCAGTCGGAAACCGGCAGGAAAACCGAAACCATTTTGGGGGCTCCAGCAAAAAAGGCACACCCAATTGGACCATCAACGGTGCGCTTTCGACATTTTGGGAGTGACAAACCAACTTGAGACCTGACATCTTCTTTGGGCAGGACATGGAAGCGCAGGATTACAGGGTCATGCATTTTTCATGTCGCTTGACACTGGTGAATAACATCGAGCCGGACATCTGATCCTTCGATCCACGTCCGGCCAATCGAATGGCATCTGGGGAGCCGACGGATTTCACACCTGGCGGGTTCTCAGGAGAAACGTCCCACCCAATTGATATCGGTTACTGTCGGTTCGCTTTTTGAGAAGGGAGCTCGACCCTGAGGGGCTCTTCACGCGAACACTCATCGGTGGCAAGGAGTCGGCTCGGGCTCAGACTACCCGTATGTGCCGAGACAAAAGTCGCGCGGCTCGCACCCCTTCGGCACCACATTGCCAGCTTGCTCAACTTACCCATCCTCCAGGACCCGCGCATCTATTTGATGGCGCTCCCATTTGACCAATCTGGATTTCTCCAAAAATGAGGCCCTGCCCCTATGTTTCGCTGTGCACTGGCACTGGCCAAACCAAATCCTTGACCTGGGGGCTTGGGGGCTTGGGGAGAGCCCGCGCACCCCGAAAGCCCGAAACCTCTGCGCATCCGCCTGTGGGGCACTGCCCATTTGCCGTCACGCTTGTCGGGCAGATCGATGCTCCAACGCCCAAACTCACCTCTCAAGGCCGATCGGGCCCCCGGGGGTTTGAAGAGCGGCTCTGAATGGCCACAACTCTTCCAAGGGATGTGTTTACTAGGTCCTCCAGATTTGAGAGGTTAGAATCACTTAGGGTACCAACTTTTTTTTCTGGACGTCTATTTTAGGGAACCCTCCCAGACACAAAAGAAAAGGTATAAGGGCACTACTGGGGGACCTAGTTTATATGGCTGCTCCTCAAGAAAGGAATCGGTGTCTTAAAATGGCAAGAGCTTTCCGTTGTCATGATTAGAAGCTTCCATATAGCCATGAATTTTAACTGGGGAGACTTGGGGCATCAGAATTCGTCACTTTTCAGGTGGTTCCCTGTGAAAGTTCACAGCCGTAAAGGCAAGACTCCACTCACCTCCAAAGACGGTATATAGTAGAACCACCTACTGCTACTGGAGGTTTGGGCACGGTAACCCTTTCTGTGCCATTGTCCCCGTTGATCACTTTGAGAATGTCCTTGGCATCGCAGAAACTAGGCCCAACCCGCCCCCCCCCTCCCCTTTTCGACAGCCATATGGGTGTGTCTTTCGTTGAGGGTACCCTTTTCCTGGCGGCTTTAGAGGAAAATTCCAAAATGGAAACCAAAATGGAAACCACTATGTTGGGCCGCAAATGTTCAACGCACCCGTATCTTTCAGGGAAGATACCCCACCAATCTATGGCTTGCTGATAGGCCCCTCCAAAGCAAGAGGACCTGTAGGCAGCACCAAGGTTGCGGGATGTCACCTAGTCCCAGCGATCCAGGAGGATATCCTCGAGGGATGCTGCGATATGTCTACAGCTGGGTGATGTGCTTTGATCTCTTGAAGTATAAAGTGTGCTTTGGGAAACACAAATCACCTGAAGTAAAGTGTCCATGCTAAAGTTCTGCATGCAAAAGACTGCCATGCGCTGGTTGCGCTGTGCTTGTCTTGTGATCACGCAGGCAGGAAGCGACTCAAGACACGAGCGTAAAGAAAGTGGGTTGATGCGAAGACCTTCAGCTATCCAGCCAGCCAGCAAGCCGGCACAAGCGAGGAAGGCAGGCAAAACACGGCAAACATAACAAATACCGCAACGAAGAAAAACCATTTCTGCTGCAAAATCCAAGCAAAAACCGTTTGCGAAATAAATTCCACAGCAATTCACAAACAAGAAGCAGACACAGCAAATGACCAAGTTGCAAAGCCGCTGTGGAATGCGTCTCGCGCCGAAAAGGATAAAAACTGTAGGACAATCCAGTTGCCCGGCCCGAAATGTGCCTGGAGTAAGCGGATGAGTATTGTCCTCAGTGGGGCTGGCCGGCCAAGGGCCAAGGAACGTCCAAAAGCTGCCTGGGGGACCGGGGGGTGAAGACAAACGGTGTCAGAACCATGGAATGGGGAGCAAGGGCCAGGGGCAAACAAATCCTGGGTCAACGGAACATTAGCTCTAAATGTTAGGTTGAGTGACACCAAGCATGTTCTCCCTATACCGACAACTGCCAGGATGAAATGTGCGGAATGAGTATAAGAGCATTTCTCAGAAACAACTTGAATGGTGCAGTGATCCAGCTGACAAAGGGAAGCTTGCCATGATTACAAACGGCTATCCAACAGCATGTACTAGGTTCCAAGTAAAAAAAAAGCACACGGCCATCAGTTGCGACTCCAGGTACAAACGGAACCGACCGTCAGAGCAACTGAAAGCCTGGAACCCTCCGTGACGGCGAGCAACAAAAAGCCTGCGGCTTCGCCGGAGGCGTAGGCTCCCTATATCTCCCCTCTACACATCCCTCCACCAGGAAGCTCACTTGAAAACAAAGTCGTCACAAGGTGAAGTGTTTTTTTTCAAACCGCGGGAGGATTAAATTTTGCGCAACTCCGGCGTCGCCAAGGTTCCCAGTTGTTGAAATCGCCGATCAGGTACACCTTCCTCGCTGCCGGCAGCCATTCTGTGAAGGTCCACTTGTTCTCAGACTCATGCCTGGCGAATCGAAATCGAACAGCGCCCTGGGTTGAAGTGACAAACACCAGATTCGGGTGTAGTTTTTTGTGAGGGTACCCTCTTTGATTGGCTATGGTGTCCTTTTGGGTGAAAAAAGACACACCTATTTAGCCCCCTAGCCACTGCCCTTTGGCTACCGTGCGGGGGATTTCGGACATGGGGAGAAGCAGTTGCTGGGACCCGGGTGCTGGCCATATTGACAGGATTCTATGCTTTGAGATTGGATCATTTGGTTCGGTCAGCGCGATGTTGAAAAATGTGCTAAAGTGGGACGTGGACAATCCGAGCCGAATGCACCACCAAATGGGTGCTAAATTGGGAGGGGAGGGGTCTGGAAAAACTGAAACATGATCCATCCTCTATTGTTTTTCTTTTGGAAAACCAATAAGCATGGGCTATAAATTGAACAATAGCAAGCATGTTGCTCATGTGTTCGTAGCGTCTCTCGGCACGTGCGCTCGCGCTTGCCGTGCCTTTGAAATCCAAAGGTCTTGTATCCCTCGGCGAACTGCTCGATGCCACCTTCGCTCGTCCTGAACCTCAGCGGATCAGAGGCTGTTGCTGGTCCCAAACCACAATGTGATCCAATCATCAAATTGCAAATTACTGCAAAGTTCAGCAATACGAATCAAAAAATAATCAGTGCAACAGTGGATGATAACAGAAACACACCGGTACTTGCTGGCTTGCAAACTTTGAGTTCGCAAGCATATCCACCATGTTGGTTCCGAGTGCCCCCAAAACATGTTGCACCGCGGCACCACGGCAGTCAAAAAGAGGTTCGGAATGCCGCAGGTCAGCGTTTGCAAGTCCGAAAACGGAAACTGACGTTCAGCGTGGTTGACGTGTCAATGAGAAATCCCTGTTCCCCCTAAGGCTCCGATCAAGGCTTGGTATGCAGCGGCGCAGTCCCCCTACACCCCGAGTTGCTGAAACGGGGTGTCGAGAGTCGAAAGGATACATTTTAACGAATTCCCCAAATTCCATCGAGACCCTTAAGAGGCCGGTTCGAAGCAAGGAGCATCTTGGAGATGTCTATTTTTTGGAACACTTGAAGTCTTGGCCGGCTCAAGAAAATGTAACAAAATGGCATGTTAAATGGAAACAAACACTAAAACCTGCGTAAGCTTACACCAAACCATTATTTATTGATATTTACAGGGGAATCATCATTTGAGGGATTTTGTCCATCCACGATAGCTCCTTAATTTTGAGCCACACTCATTTGGTTCATCCTTCTCTCGTTTCAAGGCCACCAGCCTCAGGCGATGCTTGCTTGGCATTGACTGAGCTCCCGGCTGTTCCTTCCAGCCACGGAAGGCGTTGATTCGGTGCATGATGTTGGATTCCTAAGGCGACCCAGATTCCTAAGGCGATAATATAGGCTAAATGTAATTGTCTCAAAGTTAGTTGTGCATTACATTGTAAACGCTTTTTTTGCATGATTTTAAAAATCATAGTAGGCGACCCAGTATAGCCCACCCAAATATCCCAAGACACTGGGTGGCTGGGCTCTTTTGCGAGTTGGTACCTCTGGTTTGGTGGTTTTTCCTCAGGAAAACCAAACGACAAACCAGCATTGCGTCTTTTTGGGCGGGGTCCCCAAAAAGACGACACGTCCACATGGCAATCCCTGCAGGTTCCGCTGTAAAGCTCTCCGAGGAGGCGTAAAGATCGCAGCTCTGAGTCGTGAAGCTTAAAAGAGAAAGATGCCTCCAGACTGAAGCGACCAAATGCTTCGGAGCGGAACCCGAGCTTTGTGAACATGCAGTGGCCAGAAAGAAGGTAATGTACAGTTGCACGGTTTCCAGGTTTCCAGGGGGGATTTGCATCCGCCCAACTTGGGTGGTGCGACCAAGTCTTATGCTGTCCGGGCAACTAACCATTACCCAATACCACCGCCTGAGAAGGTAATGCACAAAATAGTGGACCCTGTCCACTGTGGCCATGAGTGTCTTGTCCCAAGACATCAGCGATGCCAAAACGGCGCATTTGCTCGAGACTCGAGATCTGAGCAGTCTTCCGTGGGATACGTGAGAAAAACTGAACACTCGCCCTGCCTCAGCCGGTTCTCATATGCGCATGTGCGGATGTATAATATATATATATATAGACACATATATATATATATACACAGCTGTGTCATGTGTGATCCATTTCCATAGAGGACACTTATGTAAAGACTACGGCAATTTGAACAGCCTTCACGTCCTGCAATCCAGAAAGCTGAGCTTGCAAGCAAACGTACCTATCATTGGGGCCCCAGCATGCGCACCCAGCTGAGGATCCTCCTTGAAAATTGATAGCATTGTCCTGCGCCGACAGCTGCCCAGTCCAAGCCTTTCCAACTGCCCATGCTCTTAAACAAGGAAGGAAGGAAGGAAGGAAGGAAGGAAGGAAGGAAGGAAGGAAGGAAGGAAGGAAGGAAGGAAGGAAGGAAGGAAGCTATCAACTTGGCAAGCACAAAGAGGAAGCTGACTGGAAATTGGCCGCAAAGTGATGGTTTGCACGAGCTTCAAAGGGCAATATGGGGGAGATCTGAAGGGAGATCACCCCGGTGGTATCCTCAAACGTGTGGCAGGGATTGACCTTGCCTGTCTCTTGCGAACCCACCTGGGATAAGGTCCTTTTCCTCTCCTCACTTGCCCAAAGGACCCAGCAATAAAAGGTCAATCGTTTGGGCCCATCCTTTCGAATTTGGCCTGGACCTTGAGTCTCGGTTAAACACCCATCCCTCACCTGGCTTCGCCAAAAATCTCTCCTGAATGGACTGGGTCGTCCCTGTGAGCGCCTGTGCTTTCAGGCCTGGCAAGCCTCAGAACGGCTTCCGGCGGTGAAAACCGCAAATTCCGAGAGGAAGTTGCAAGTTGGAAGACTTGAGGATGTGTCTACCCCGGGTAAACAGGACACCTGTTTCATCCCATCCTGTGCTCCGAGTCAAAGCAGCTCAGGAGCCGGCTCACAATTTCTGGGCAAGCTTTGGAATCCTCTGACCGGAATCCGGACCCAAACCTAACTGAACCAACTTGGACCACTGCAGCTGTGCTGGGCTGGGTGTTCGAAAATCCAACCCTGGAAGAACTCCACGCGCTTCACGTAAACCTCCGAGCCAAAGCAGCGATGCAGTCCGGAGCATCTGAACGCATACGCGCCTTTGGCAACCGGGGGGCATCCATCGGCATAGCTTGTCTTTCATGGGCCGTTCTACCCTCGTTGGCTCTTCTTTCGCCCCCTATCAGGAACTGGGGTACAATACGAGAAACTAGCTTCCAAAACAAACAAATTACACCAGCATAGACACCAGATAGCAATGATTGCACACCACCACCTCCAAGCGTCCCAAACAACACCCGGCCGTCAATCAAGCACCCGCGCCATCACTAGCACCTCCAACAGCACCCCAAACAGCATCCCAAGACAGCACCCGCAAAAGCACCCCCAAACTGCATGCTCCCTGCACCCTGCCGTCAATCTCGCAAAAATGCGCCTGCACCGTCACTCTAAGAGCACCCCAAACAGCAACCCCCCAAACACCCAGCCGCACCCCAAACAGCATCCCAAAATGCCACGGCACCAGCACCCCAAGCTGCATGCCCCCTTGCACCCCACCGTCAAGATGCAATAATGTGCCTGCACCGTCACCTGCGTGCCCGATAGCACCCGGGCGTCAATATCGCAAATTGCGCCCGCACCGTCACTAGCACCTCAAACAGCTCCCCAAACAGCATCCCAAAACACCACCAGCACCAGCACCCCAAACTGCATGCCCCTGTACACCCTACCGTCAAGATGCAAAAACACGCATGCACGTCACCCCCAAAACAGCACCTGCACCCCCAAACTGCATGCCCCCTAGCACCCTACCGTCAATCTTTAAAAGATGCGCCCGCACTGCCATCAGCACCTCAAACAGCACCCCAATCCGCAAAAACCAGCACCCCAAACTGCACGCCCCTTAGCACCAGCCCATCAATCTCGCAAATCACTTCCCCCTCTTTATTAGAAGTTAGAACCCCTATAGCTTTCAGCTATCTGGGGAAAAACGAAGACCAAAAGCGTCCAAACTTCAAACCAGCGATTCCTTGTAGCTCAAATATGACATCCTTGTCAACTTGACACCGCAAACATCGGGTGCCTGTCGCATTGGGTCAAATTGCCGGATCCCAAGGATCCAAACGGGCTTGGTATGGCAAGTGGCCCACCCACCCCCCCCATGATGGACACTTGGGGTCTATTTTGCAACCACCTTCTTTTGGGGTATTCGGTTCTTCAGGATTCCTGGCAGCATTTGACGCAACGTGGCCACCCCTATGACCTCCCCGAGGCCGCGCATCTTTTTGTCCAAGCAAAGCAGTCGCAGTGCAGCTCAGCGCGGCCTGTCGGGGGCGAGAACCAACCCCTCCCCCCCCACACCCGTTCGATAGAATGGAGCGCAAGATAAGAAGTGTCGTGTTGTTTAATACATGTATTAATTAAATTTAAAGCAAGAGAATAACAAAAGATATGCACATTTATGAAGTAATAACAAACGTGAAGATAATAAAAATATAATAAATAGTCGTAGTAAGACAGCCCTTACTTGCAGGGCAATCACTCTTTTGCAGGTTGGTCTAAAGGCCGACAAAAAGGAAAGCCGCCATTTTGGGCTGGTCTAAAGGCCGACAAAAAGGAAAGCCGCCATTTTGGGCTGCTCCAGATCGCCATTTGTCACATCCCCAGTCTCGTCACATACGCTTCTCCCAGCCTGGCCGAAGTGAGTCAGGCGCGCGCCCGGGGCGCCTCAGGCCCTACGGCGGGGAGGCTGGGCCTGAACCGCAAGGCAAAGACTCCACTGGGTCCAATGATACTGTGGACGAAACTCTGCACTTTGAAACCATTGCTCCGGTATTTACAGGGGAAACGAATCATTTCAGGGTGTCTTAGGTGGTGCGAAATGGATGTCGCAACCATCCACAGTATGACCTTTCAGAAACCCAACGGTTTCTGATTCAACTCCCCGACGTAAATACCAACCATAGTTTCCCATGACTCCATGAGGAGGATTTCATCCATCCACAGTCTCAGAATTATCTTCCCCCACCGAGTGGACGGCTTAAAGTGTTCAGCTGTGACCCAAAACCAACTTGAAGAAGCCCTCACTTCGCTCACGCCTTGCGGCCATCCACACTTCGTTGGCCCGGGTAAATGATTCAGCCACCAGGTAAGCCAGAAATCGCCCAACCTGTTTTTTAAGCAAAACAAAAAAGAGAACCACCAGCTAAAACCAGGGCCCTCTATGTTCAAACCAAATCAACCAAAAAGGACGAGCCCTATGCTACTGCAGTGTCTGGCTGTTGGAAGCTCCTTCGATGGCGTTTCTGCCCTGCTTGTTTGTGCAGGCGCAAAGGTCCACTGGTTGAATGCAGGCGCGGGGAACCCTACTGTTTCAGACCAGCCCGTTGACCCTGGTGCACAAGAAACCCATTTTGGGGTTGACCTAAGTGGGTCCGCTGAACAAGTGGGCTAAACCAAATTCGGGGCAAGCAGCGCCTCCAGCCTTACGACAACGGAAACCTTCCCAGTTGTTCGAAGAGGCTGTCAAGCGTCGGGTGGCCAATGACCCCCCCTCCCTCCTCGCTCCCTGCTGCAGCACTTTGTCAAGGCATAGATCACGCACCAATGTTTTCGCCTGAGAGCCACTCGTGGCTCCCTGGCGCGGTGAAACCAGCTGCCAGAGAGCGAGCCCCAGTGCAAATCGAAGTCGCCGTCGCCCAAGCCGCGAGTCGCGAGTCGCGAGTCGCGAGTCGCGAGTCGCGAGTCGCGAGTCTCGGGCACGGCGGCCTCCGCATGCAAGCCATGTCCGGATTCTGGCAGCGTGCAAGTGTGCAACCTCCCACTGTACAAGGAGAACGGATTGATTCTGAGCCGGGCTTGCAAACAACCCCAGACCCAAGTCTAACAGCGTCTTTTTGGGGACTAGCCCAAAGCATGCAAAGGTGGCCACCGAGCCGGTGGCCAACATTCCCAGTGCCTGAGAAAAATCTTCGATTGAGAGATTCAGCATCTCACTCATCCCCCAACAATCGCAGCTTCATCTTGATGAGCTCATCGCGGCGAGCATTCTCCTCCTGACCGTGCGGGGCCACAGAAATGCGGGAAAAGACCAACAAGTCTCATCCTAAGAGACGGGTTTACTCGTCTCAGCCTGACGGTGCGGGCCGCGGCTCAGTGGATAGCACTCCGTTTTGGCTGGGGCTCATGAGAGGTTTGCGCCCCTTTCACTCCAGCCCGGGCTTGAGTTGCGAAGCCTCCCAGGACTGTCTCCCTGGCCCTTAGCTCGAGAAAAGCCGAAAGCTAAGCCTCTCAAATGGGTGGGGGTCAAAAGTAACCCTCAAGGGACCACAGGTTTTAGTCCATGTGTCCATTTGCCTGGGTTCCATTTTGGGTATCTATTTTTTTGACCCACAGCCAAACGAACTGTCAAACTGTGGGAGGGATTAATCCTCCTCATCTCCCAAGCAATTTTGCCGCCTAATGGTGGAAAGTCGAAGCCGCTCTAGAACGAAGAAAGCGAGGGCAAGAGCTCCCAACTCATTTCTTGTGGAGCGGGCCAGGCAAATTATCGATATTTGACCATGAATGTTTTTGAGGAATCGATGTCCACCGAAGGATCTCTAAATAAGATTCGTTACATTTACTCGTGTTTTGCATGGTGTTAAAGGGACACCACAAGTTGCAAAACCCACGCTTTGTGGGCTCCAACCTGTAGATTTCTGGACCTCCACCTCTCTCCCTGTCAGCTCAAACTCCAAGCTCCGTCCTCGGCGCCCACCAAAACCTGACCCCAAACCTCGTGCTCCGCGGTATGCTTCTGCGCTGAGCCGTCGTCCGCCTTGAACTCCACCACGCCTCGGGAGCTCGAAGAAGCGAGATTCGGCCCGACGACTCGGACGTCGGCCGTCAGCCGAAATTCGGCAGAAAGGCTCACTGTGGATGGTTGCGGGAAAACAAAATATATATATTTTAAAAAGGGCACCGCCGAAGCAACCAGATGACACCATAACGTTTGTTGGTATTTACAGGGGAATCGACTCAGAAACCGGTTTCTCAACGGTTCGAAATGGAGTTCGCAACCATCCACGGTATGGCCAAGGCTAAGCCATGGAAACGGAATCGCCGAGCCCTTGGGGGGAATGAACCGGAAGGTTCCCGAAAGTTGAAACCATAGGGGATGGTGAAGAGGGGAACTTTCCACTTCTCGTTCTCAGAACCAGCGAGAAACGGAAGATTGGCAAAACAAGGAACCCAAGGCTGAGCCAAGCAAACGGATAAAATGTTGCCCCCCTACTAATTAACCCGTTTATTAATCGGGGGGGTGTTCCCTTCCAAAAGTGAACAATCCCCACTAAAACCAGGGACACCCTATTAATAAACAGGCTTTTTATTCATAGGGGGTGTTCATTCTGGTTTTGCACGAACCCAAGCAGCCAGGGGAAGTCTGAAGTGAGGCCGATAACAGCCTTTCGTGAAGCTGGCTGCTTGAGCTGCGGAGGATGCGGATTGATTTTTGTCATTTTGAGCTTCATTTGGCTATGGGTCAAAACCCCGGTGCCCCGGTGAACACCCAGAAAGCCTCCTAAAAAGACAACAATGGAGTGGTAACCATCCCAAAAAAAGGCACCTTAGGTTTTGAGCCACAACCATTTCCTGACCATAGGCTCATCGTCGCCCCAACTTGCAATCAATGCGAACACCGCTTCTTCATTTTCTAGCGTTCGGCTGAAAAAGGGGAAAAAAAAAAACACGTCGCTGACCCGGCCTCGTCCGCCCAGCTCCATCTCCTCCTCTTTGTTGATGGCCACCATGTCGCCCATCTCTTGCACCACATCCACGCGCTTGGTCTGCCGCCACTCCCACCGCTCCTCAAGGGACAACACAACACGTGGATCGCCACGGCCAGAATATGCAGTTCACGCAAAGGACACGAACAAATTATGTCTTCGGACATTGAGTGAGTCCCCCCTGTCCAACCTAAATGGACTAAACTGGATATTTTGACCAAAGCACACGTGGAAACGACAAAGCCGAAGGCCTTTCAGCTGTTGATTCCCATTAAGGATAGTGAGGCCCTGGCTGAGTAAACACACTTCGCATCCCGTGACTCGACTCGACAAGCCCAAAAAAGTTCTCCGAAGAGCCCATCGAAACGGGGTTCGGATCGTCCACTCAGTTTGGGTGTTTTTTGGTAGGTGCCCTTCAACCTTTGAAGGAAAACCAAAGGAACCATTGTTGGTGTGAAAATCCTGATGCTCAACACACCTGTACAGCAAACGGTTCCTGCTCGACTTGTGACTCAGCTCACTTGGGGCTCTTGCTATATCCCCTGTAAACCTGTTTCTTGCTTCTACTTGCCTCACTCAACCGGGGTTTGTCTCAAAACAGGGAGACCCTCCAGAGCCACCCCAACAAAATGTGGTACCAACTCCCTAAGAAAGACGAACACCCCTTTCAAGCCACCCCAAGAAACGGTTCCAACTCGAAAGTGGAGAGAAGCACATCACTGTCACATCACTTACCCTTTTTTCAACCCTCAGGGTCAATGTGTTTTTCCCTTTGGCGCCGCAAAGCCACTTCCTTCTTCTTGGTTTCCCACTACACCAACTCCACGAAGACGGCACCAAGATCCCATCCAAAAAGGAAGCCAAACCCCCCACACACCAAAGAAAACGGAACCACGTCCCATCCAAAGAAAAGCACCCCCCCCCCTTTTACCAACTCCACCAAAAAAGACGGTACCAGATCGCCAAACCTGCCCCCCCCCCCCCCCCCCGACCCCCCCTGACCCCCCCCCCGCCCCCCACTGCGCGCGAGTGCTCCTTCTGGCAGATGGCGGCCTCCAGCCCTTTGATCTCCGCGTCGATGCGCTGCATGGCGCTCTTCACCGCCGCGGAGGCGTCCCGCGCGGCGGCGCCGCCGCTCTGCTGCACCGCGGAGCACATCTCGCCGAAGCGGAGGCTCTGCACCGTCTCCTGGGTGGGAAGGCGGGCAAAAGGGGAGGGGAGGGAGGGGAAGGGGGGGGAGAAAACAGGGGGGAGAAACAAGACTCTATACAAGTCAGAGGGGTAGAAAGAGTGTTCCCTACATAAATGTCCCTATAACACCCTCAACCTGTAAACCCGTGCCCTGAAAAAGGCATTTTGCGGACCAATCTTACAAATTAACCCCACCCAAACTTCCAACCGGCTCTTCTGTGTTTCTGTTTTTTTTGCCGCGGGTTGGGATTGGCTCCGGTTTTCCTCCGCGTGGGCGTTCTCCGGAGCGCAGCACACCACCACGGAGGTGCAGGACTCGCCGTCCAGCGCCGGCTGCAGCAGCATGGTGAGCTTCGAGTCTTGGAACGGCACCCGGGGCAAAGGAGCCTGGCCCTTCTCCGCCAGCTGCTGCCTACCCGACCACAAAGACAAAGGGGGCGGATGCATTTCTTGTCCTTTGTTGTTCCTTCTTTTTTTTCACAAAAATGCCCAAAGTTGGGACGTGGCATTTTTGTGTTGTGTGTGGTTCTTCTTTGTTTGTCCTTGTTGCGTTTTTAGTTGATGATGATGGTGACGATGATGGTGTGGTGGTGGTGGTGGTGGTGGTGGTGGTGGTGGTGGTGGTGGTGGTGGTGGTGGTGGTGGTGGTGGTGGTGGTGGTGGTGGTGGTGGTGGTGGTGGTGGTGGTGGTGGTGGTGGTGGTGGTGGTGGTGGTGGTGGTGGTGGTGGTGGTGGTGGTGGTGGTGGTGGTGGTGGTGGTGGTGGTGGTGGTGGTGGTGGTGGTGGTGGTGGTGGT